TTTTTATTTCTATTATTTTTGATAAAAGTAAAGAATTTGGCTTACTCTTCCAAACAATTGATATTGTTTACTACTTTTATATCAGAAAATCTTATATTGTAACTATATATACCACTAAAATAAGTTTTTAAAAAAATCTTATTACATCTCTAATAAAGCAATTTAAAATTTTTATATGTAAAGAACTAATTTAATTTAAGTAGTTATGTTCCTTATAATTTCATCTTTTCAAAAAAGTGTTAAAAAATTTTGTCTTTTAAGTAAAATAGGTCAAAAACAATTTTGTCTTCAAATTTTAATTTTGTATCTCAAAATCTAAAATAATTTTGTTAGCATATATAGTTGTGATAAGATGAATTAAAAATATAATAATATATAGAGTTACATTTCATATTAATCTGAATATATTTTGTCAAGAATGAAGATTTTTTAAGATAGATTCAGTAAGTAGCTTTCAATAATGACTAAGTGAACAAAGAGAAGATCTTCTGTTTTATCATATTTAATATAGAGATAATATTTCAAAAAAGATTTGTAAGTAGATAAATTAGGCAAATTATTCATAAAGAATAATACACATAAAGGTTTTATTTTAATGTTTTGGATTCATATATAAATTTAATTGAAGAGATAATAAAGCAATAAATACAAAATATATAAAATTTCAAAGTTATATTGTAACTGAAATATTCGGTTATAGGGTGGATTTAGGTCTTAGTTAAGAGAAATATCAAGACAAAGAGGCATTTTATTTAGATAGTTAAGACTTTGAGGCCGTGGACAATGCCTTTACAAAGACTTTTTACAGGACGTTTTTATATTTCTACAAAAACAAATATACTAACTACCTATTCGCTAGACTAGTCTTCCTAAAACCATAATTCCTCCTGATTACAAATCCGTTTTATATTTAATTACTATCCTACTAATGCTATGTATAACGATCTATATATAACGATAATAAAATAATAAAAAATAAATAAACTAATAAACGAATAAATAAATATACAAGTTGGACGAAGAGTTCGTCGGTATCATGTACTACACCAACGGCACCTCCAAATTTTTTGCGCAGTCACGTGATAAAATATATGCACATACGTACTGTACGTACATATGACGATCATCAATTATGTTTCAGTTATTAATATCGATATAATATCGATATGACGTAATTTGGTAATTTAATAATTAGAATAAATATCGATGCAAATCTTTTTTTCTCTTTACACATAAAATGGAAATATTAATAAATGAAGTTCATACAAATAAAACTAATACATTACAAAAATGTTCAAAGTGTCAAAAGTTTATGCCCAAGAATCAATTTATTAATGAAAAAGGTTGTGATGTTAAATATTGTAATTTGTGTCGTCAACAGTCTTCAATTTATTATAAAAAGTCGCTTGAAAATAATGAAAAAGAAACCTTACCTCCTAAAGAGATGGCCAAAAAACTATATAATGATATTATGATAATTGGTTGTGATGAAAACTTGGAAAATGAATCTGCTGGAATTAACTTCGAATGTGATATTACATTGGACAATATTAAAGAAGCGGAAGATAGTCCCCATGAAATTTCAAGAAAGATTGCTGATTTGATTGGTAATAGTGACGGATATTATTATATATATTTAAATAATTACCATTCAAAGAAAACTGCTGAGTTATATACATTTCAATATCGTTGTTCTCAATGTCAAAATTTGACAAAAAAAAACCAAGAAAACATCAAGATCCTAATCAGCAAAGAGATCGTGAGTCAATAGAACGATTCGACTGTGGTGGTACTCTTCGAATTACTATAAATATGATGAATGATAGTGCCTTTATTTACCTTAAGCACAAAACTTTACATCAACAGCCTGAAAGAAATCGTGTTACTGACAAAATCAAAAATAAAATTAAGGAAAACCTTCAATTAGCCCCAAGTGATATTTATAGTATGATAGAGCAAGATTTTCCAGAGATATCGCAAAAGCAAATTCATGCATGGTGGACGGTATTTATCCAAAAAGAGTTTATTCGCGATGATGATCAAGTGAATTCAGCAAAAATGTTTTTAGAAGAGCATAATTTGCAAGTTATTATGTTCAATAATAGTAATGGAGTAAAACTTTTGGGGTTTATTACTTCGTTTTTTGAAAAATTTAAAGAAAATAAGGAGAT